GTGGAAGTGCTGGCATGGTCCTGTCAAATAAGCTCTGTCAAATGGACCTCAAATGTACTGCACACTAACCCATCTAAAAGAAAGCCTCTAACATGGCATTCTAGTGTGATAATTCAATAATACTTGCTTGATGATTACACAGCTCAGCTAGAGGGAAATGACCTGTAAATTATACTGTAGAGATTAGAAGGAGCATCTTCACAAATATCCTACAAGACTGTCAGTTCCCATTTGGAGATAATACCATCTTTCACCTTACTGAAAAGCGTTCGGACAGCTGCTGTTAAAACATGCAAACCAAGTGTCACTGGAAAACTTTGAGTAGTCTTGTGCTTTTGGAGAAGCCCAGTAACAGCAGCACAAAGCTTAACTTGAGCAGCTATGGTGTGGGTATACGTAAAGGTGCCTTTCACTCTTTGCATCAAACACTGCAGTGCTGTTGAACTTTAACCTGGCGTAAACTGAAGCAGTTTATAAACGTAAGCTGAGGAAAGCTGAAATAGTTTGCATTTTCTGTTTCCCGCAGTGTGCAAACTTCCTCTGTCCCTAATCCTGCTTGCCTCTCTCTTCTTTTGCCAGGACAACTGTTAATATTTGAAACTGATTGAGGTTAAAACTCACCTTTGCTTCTGGATGGTTTTAATCTGAATCAATTCCCTCATCCAATTCACTGTGCAGAGCAGTGAAACATGAACCCTTTTGCCTATATAAGCAGGGGCAAGAATTTGAAAATTAATAGGAGGGAGTAGAAATGGTTGGAATTTTTTTTGTCAGTGAGGTGGGCTTATTCAGATTAAAACTGCTTGTGGATTGAGAGAATAAGTTCTATTAAGAACACTTGAGTTCTTTTCACGAGAAGTACACCAGTAATAAAGAATCAGTGCAATTGGTCTAACACAGTGAGTGTAATATATTAAACTGAACTCACAATGTCAGTTATTTCTAGCTCTTTGCTATTACTTTGCACAGTAACTTAGAAAAGCTGGATCTTCTTACAGTGTTCTGCCTCACCATCTAATCAGTCATCAGAGGAGGCGAGAAAAGATTTGCTAAAAATTATTACATAATTAGAGAAGGGTATTACATGGCTAAAAGTGGCTTTCTCTGTTCAGTAATCTCCTGTCAAGTATCTGTCTGGCTATGAAGACTCTCAGGTAGTCCTTTTTGTAGCAGTTTACCTCTTAAACAGATCTGGGACAAATGATTGTTATATAGAAAAACATGTGGATTAGGCTTTTTTAATGGTATTTTTAGATGGGTGCTTTAAATTTATATTTTTAAAAATCCAGCAACTTTTAGTTGTTACAACTGTTAATAATGAAATAAAATAAAAATGGTAGAGTGGTCTGATTAATGCAATGGATATGGACTTTTTTTCTTGTTTTTATTTTCAATCCTATAATTTTATCTTTGGTGCAGCAGTATATCCCTGGGCTCTACCATTAGCAGAAGGGATCTAATGCAAGGGATGCTACTGGTGGGTTTCTGGTTTTGTTGATGAGGAGGCAGTGGATTTTAATATTGCTGAAATACCTTTACCAAAAACATAGCTTGAAATCTACTTCCTTAGGAAAGGGCTTTTCTGGAAAACTAGCATGTCTTGATTTTATTAGTCTCCCTTTGTTGTGGTATTTTTCTTGACATTTGAATTATCAGAGGTGAAGAATTTTCAGATTAAGTATCTGGTGTGTGTAAGTTTTGGCTTGCTTTTTATCGTCTTTGATTCAAAGATGTTCAGTTCTGAGGGCTAGCTAAAAGCTTACTTGGACAAATGATACTATAGCCAATGTTTACAGTAACAGTTTTTGTAAAGCTGCCTCCGTATTTGACTGTAATGGACATACTTGACATGGGTAGTACCTGTTTAGTTCCCTGGGAACATTTGTTCTTTTGTTGTTTACCTAAGTACTGATTTGAATTTATTAGAAATGATTTCCCTCTTTCCTCAAATCTGTCTCATGAGACGTTTGTTTAAAAGGAGACAACCAGCAGGTAGTCTGAATGAAGCTTAATAGCGTGGCTTTGGTATCTTAGAAAACAAAGATCTTCAATAATAACTGCACAAATTGAAACTAGTCTCACTTTCAACACTCCATGTTTTATGTATGATGCAATCTGTAGAGAAGGTGTGCAGAGTTAAAAGGATTTTTGCCAAGGATGGGTTTTGCCTAGTGTAACTGATTTCTCCGACATCCCTCTCTAGTTAATTGCAAAAAGAGTGAGTTCTCTAGAGGCTGAATCAGAGCAGACTAATGTATCCCATAGAGTAAAAAGAAAATTAGCCTTATGGAGTTAAAATTGGCTTCCTTGCATACTTCTCTAGGTGCCTCAAATCTTCAGAAGTTAACACTTGCTGTCAGACATGCTGAAAGAGAGAAGCAAACCCAGAATGCAAGGTGGCAAAATGAGATATAACTGTAAAAGCACAAGGCATCTGCTTGCCAGGTTAATCGATCTTTTTCCTAAACTGCAAACGTGGCTTTAATTTAAATGCCCCAAAACAATATTTTTGTTTGATTTGCTCTTTTGGGGAAGCAGAAGGAAGGTCTCCTTGCTGGTTTGTGTGGTTAAGTTGCACACAAGGCACACTGAGAGAGCACTGGAACTTCTAGACCATGATAGCATTAAAATTGCTTGCACAGCGTTAACTTGCCTGCTTTGAGTGTTGCACAGTGAGTTGCAAAATAGACCCTAGCTTCATTTATTGAGAAAGTCTGAAGGAGCGCTGTGGATAAGGCAGTTTGTTTTCATTGAAAAATAAAAAGATTTTTACAAATCCATTTAAATATTGACAAAACTTAGTCATCTTCTCTCTTTCTTGGAAAATGGTTAAGCAGATTCAGAAACTTCTTTCCCAAGAAGAACGAAAAAATTAATTGTAATGTGGAACCCTGCACAAAATCCCCTCAGTTCAAAAAATTAAGATTTAACAAGATTGTAAGTAACTCCTTTGTGAACTGTTAGGGCTTCATTAATCTTTAGTTGGTTCTTCTAGCTCTGTTTAGTGGTATCAGTGAAGTGTTGGCTATTAAAAATAATTTCTTTTTTTGTCTAGTCCCCAAGCTGTTAGGAGCATTGAACATGCTCTCAGGATTCAGCATTTCTTTTCTAAACTGGTCTCCAGCTGGCTCTCTTCTGCTCTGTGTTTCATTCATGATATGCACTTTGAAAAGCATATGGGTTTCTCTCACTGCTAGAAATGTAGGATGAGTTGTCCAAAGAGTATTGGTTTCAGAAAAAGGGCACTGCCCTTGTGAATCTGCTGGCTTTTCTTGCTTTCATTTACAGCTTCAGCATTTTATACATATACATTCTGTCAGCAAACAGCTGTGAAACCTACAGGCCAAGAATGTGCTTCCCTTTCCCCGTAAGGGATGAAGAAGTGACATGGAGACATGACGATGTATTACTTCTGTCTGGCCTTTCCTTGGCAGAAGGTTTAAACTCATCAGTGAACTGTATGCTGTAATAATGATGTCACATGATGGATTTCCTGGGCTTTGCTTTTTACTGCTTGCTGCTATTAAAAAAAAAAAAAAAGTAAGGCAGTTCTCAGGGCAACAGTCACTAACTCTCACCAGAAAGCTGTTCTTTTTAACACCACAACTCTCCAAACCTTTTGGCTATTGCAAAAAAAAAAAAAAAAAAAAAAGTGCTGAGCTGCTTCTATTTCCTGATGAAAAATTCAGCTGCACTGGTGCTTTTTTTTCTAATGCCAAAATGAGCTAGTAACCCACTGTATTAAGGATGGTGTAGCTGAGTATTAGAATAAAGCCTCAGACTGAGAGTGATTCAGTGACCTTCCCTTTAGAGCTTCTCTCTCACAAGGTCTGCAGGCTGCATACCCCATTCCTATGTTCTGTGTAACCAGCCAGAAGCAGCCTGTGATCTTAAATGCTTTAAAGAGAATGTTTGCATCATGACATTACTGTGTACATGGCTAACATGCAGCATAATGGAAAGGGGATTTGAATATTTACAGCATGTTACGTAAACGCTGCCCTTCGGAATATTTCCTAAATCCTCTTAGCTCTTAAGTGACAGCTTTTTTTTTTTTTTTTAATAAAATCAGTCTTATCATTTATCCAGCTAAGTTTGGTAAACAAAAGATGTTTAATACTTCCTTTCATATAGTCAGATTCTTGTATTTAAGGGTTTATCTGTATGCACTTAAGCTTATTAGATACTTCATTTTTAAAGAGCTGACTTTGCAAAAGCAGAACGTGGTGCAGAGGTGGGCTTTGGAATTTCTTTGCTTTGCCAGTGTATCCTGTGAATAGATAATCTCCAAAGGATTGCAGTAAGCAGAGCAGTGTGCGTTATGGTATGCAAATGTCACATGGATATTTGAATTCTATTTTGATCTACTAATAGTCAGTAGTGAAGATTTTGGGTTTGGCTTTATGTGTGTTTATATGTATATACATACTCATTTTAAAAATTGAGTAGGAATTGTGCTGTGGCAAAATAAAAGGAAGGAAAACTGTGACAAAATTCTGGACATTTATGAGGATTTTCTCTTTAAAGCTCTAGGACTATGGCTTTGTACTGAGCTTGTGCTGATTGTACTCTGACATTTATTTTTAGTTGTGTTAGATGTAGGTTTTTACAAAATCTGAAAAAGCTTCTGAGAGATGACAGAGGTGTGATGCAAAAGAGGTGGCATGGACAGAAAGGTGGTGGGGATCTAGCATGATTTGGTTCTTTGATTTTCTGTACGTGTGAGATTTGGGGTGTCAGTTTGGGGGAGGATTCTTTCTTGGGGAAGCAAGACAGGTAAGAAATGGGTTTAAAAAGCTTGCAAGGCATTCAGATGCATGATTTTTGCAAATTTAGGAGCGAAGGCCTCAGTGGTTTTGTGGTAATGGTATGGATGGAGAACTTAGAGTGTTTACCAGGTATACAGTTGCAAAGGATGCATGGATGGATGGATGGATGGATGGATGGATGGATATTTTGTGTGTGCAGTATGTTTGCATTTACTTTACTTTTGCTTGTAGGTGACTGTGGAAGAAGTGATGACTACTACTGCATACCTGGATCTCTTTTTGCGCAGCGTTTCAGAACCAGCCCTCCTCAAGATTTTCCTCCGCTTTATTTTGCTGCACCGACATGAGAATGTGCATATCCTGGATACACTGACCAGCAGAATCAACACACCATTCCGGGTAAGGCAAGCAGCTGATGTCTCCAAATTGATCCCAGTTGTTATCTGCAGTATCACTCATGTATTCCACAGGAATCTAGTCTGTATTACTGTAGCAGGTTTACTTAACTGTGACATTACCAGCTTTCTTTGATTAGAAGGCAGCACTTTTTTGGTCAAGTGACCAGGCTGCTGCTTCCTTTTCTTTGCCTTCGTTCCCCTGTGCAATAAGATTTATCTCAGCTTTGCACTGAACCCCTTCTCAGCCCAAGCACAGTGTGTCACAGCAGCTGGAGGGAGAGCTGACAGAGAGTAGTTACCTCTGCTAACAGTTCGACCTTCTGGCAGAGAAAATGACTACTTGTTGCACCAGACTACCCTTCTGAGTCTTGCGTGGCTGGCAGCCTTGGCTGACTCTTGGGTGGTGCACAGCTTCATGGATGAAATTAAGAATAATGTTTTAGTGCAGGTGAATGTTTAGAATGTGCAATAATGTTTTAGAGAAGCCAGAACATCAGCACTTGCATTAAATTTGTATATTAGGGAGAGTAGCTTCATCTGAAAATTGTTTTGAAATGTGAGCGCATGCAAATATCGATATATGCTGCTGTTAGTGCATCTCTAAGATGGATTAACTATGAGAACTGAAACAGCTTCTGTCAACAAAAATGCAAATGCTGTTGTCTCTGCTAATCATTAATACTGTTACATTGGCAAACAAGAAGGGAATTGTAAAGAATTCTGCAGCCCTGAGCAACTCAAGATCTCAGCCAAAATGATTCTGTGATGCTAAAGGAGTTTTCTGCAGTACAGCCTGGCCAAGTGAAAAAGCCAGAATTGCAGCCTTCTGTGTGTTTCCATAGCACAAAAGCTGTGTACATTATTAGTGATGAAAATACTGATTAATAATTCACAGGGTTAAACTTATGTACAGACGGGCAACTTGTAAAAAGGACTTTGCATTTTACAGGACTTGTAAAAATAATATCCTCTCTCCTGAGCGCTTTTTAAGTCTTCTTAAAAAATTCAAAAATAGATTTTATTTATTCAGAAGATTGCCATTTTGCAATATGGTTGCAAAGACAAATGAATAATATTTCCCTGTAAACTGAAATGTCTTAAATACAGGATAATTTAGGGCAGCAGCAGATTTTTTTGAACTTCGTGGCATGAAGAAGAGTTATACTTGGCTCTCTCTAAATTTCACAGAGGAAATGAGATTTCCTGTTTTTCTCTCATGTCCCTCCCCTGGCTAAAACACACCTTTCTTGAAAGAATCTGACTTTTTCCAGAGGCTTGTTGTGAAGCTCTTCAGCTCTGTCCCCATATTCCTGTTGAGAACCCCAGTTGTGGATATTTCTTTGTCTCTTGTCCCTTTACTCTCTCCATCTATTTCTGTAGACGTGAAGTCTTGGAATATCTGTTGACTCCGAGTACAGGCAGTGGAGAGCAGTGACAGGGCAACAAGTTTGAGCTCTGCTTTGCCTCTCAGCAGGCCAGTTCATGAGCATTTTCCATTTCTCTTCCCTCTGCTTATTCTCTTTCCTTTGTTCTTCTGTTGGTGTTCAATGACCAGACTAGGAAAGGCAGTCAAAGAAGGTTTCTCTTTTCAGAGGCTATCAAGTGAGGTTCACCTAAACTTTGTTATTTAACTGTTTCACAGAGATACCTACCAAGTTAGGGGAAATACATGGATGTGTATATATTTCAAGAAATCTATGCATTCATCTGGTCTTGGTCACCGTGGACAGCTGATCACATTGTCACTCATCTGAAAGAGAGAAGAGCCAGAAATGGTGAAACAAAGGGTCTTTAAGTTGACATTCTTGAGAAAGCACGGGCTGGAGAGAGGAACATAGTGCTGTTGCAGAGCTAGAACAGAGCATTTTAACAGTGGGAGCAAGGGGAGTGACTGCAGGAAAGAAGAACCATGCAGAAAAGAAGCAATGCCCAGGCAGGATGCTGGATTTAATCCTGAATGAGTTATAAGTTATGTTCAGTGACTGAAAAAATGGGGTAGAAAGATATCTGTAGCCTTTTCCTTACTTTGGCCTAATCTCTTTATTTTGTTAGCTACTGAAAAGTGCCATTAATGTCATTTATTACTATATGTTTTTATTTCATATGTTATTTACATAATTGATAGAGGGAGAGACAAGATTTAAACACCCACTTGAAACTTTAGGGAAGAGTCAATTTTATGCTAAATAATTCTCGCAAGAGTCAGCCTGGTCCGGGAGCCTAAGCTAGCTGTAAGATAATGTTTCCATGAGGGAGCAGCACAGGAGAAATACACATTAAGAGGCAGGAGTACAGAGACAGTGTGGTCTGTGAAAGCTTACAGCTCATGCTTACAGCTCATGCTTCTACCATTTTGGGCACAACTGCAGTCTAGCAAGTGTCTGGCAGGTAGAAATGTCCTGTGTGATAGCTTTGAAAGCGTATGTCTAATTAATGACCAAAAATGCCTGTAGAAATCCATGGTTTTAGTCTGTCCTAAAGCCAGGGTGAAGGCGGGCTGCCTATCACAGAATGGGTACGATTTTTGTCTCTGCTGTGACTACTAAAATACCTGGTTACAGCTGTATTTAATCAGACCTTTGCAAAAAAGGCAAGCATGCAATTGCCACGAGGAATTCTATTCTTTCTCCTGGTCTTACAGAAAGGATCTTCGTGCTTTGCTATAACTCCCAGCTGTTCAGCTGACCTGTAATAGAGAGATTACGAACACTTCCTATGGAAGAGATTCTGACAAAAAATGGCTTGTTTGTCCTGGTCTGTGTCCAGTACCTTAACCTGTATTTCTAGAACCATTCAGCTTCTTAATGTGCAGAACACTAATCATTCCTTATACTTAAAGCAACAGAAACTTGAGGTAATTTATAACTTTTCTTTCAGAAAAGACCTTTAATTGGTTCAAATTCTGTGTCAGAGGTAAAAACTAACACACTGTATTGGAAGTTAAAGGGTTCAGTTCACACTAAATTAAATTAATAAATTTGAAAAATAGTCGAGACTGGGAAATTACAGATTTTTTTTTTTTTATAGCTTATTTGGAGGAAAGTTCTGAATTTCCTTTTGTTGAAATAAAACATTATGTGTATAGCTCTAGATAACTTAAAAAATCCCATAGGGTGCTGACAAAATGAAATATTATACTAAGAGTATCTTATAAAGTGTGATGTTCTGGTGGAGCAATTTTGTAATGTAGTATGCAGGGAAGATTGGAAAGATCCAATTTTTCAGATCAAAAACTGACAATGTTTATTGTTTTCCAGCTCTGTGTGGTCTCCTTGGCATTGTTCAGAACGCTCATTGGCTTGCATTGTGAAGATGTGATGTTACAGCTAGTTTTAAGGTAAAGGCCAAACTCCTTTTTCCATTCCTCATCCTGGCTCTGAGACATATAATCTCTGCCTGTGGATGCAGAGCTGGATGAGAGTTCTCCATGAGAGCAGAAATCCAAGCAACTACAGAGATAAGAATATTTATGATCCTGACAAAAGTCTACCAGACCTGACGTAGTGTGATTTACGTCCTGAGATCTTCAGAGATTTTTCTTGTGATTTATATCTCTAGAAGTGAGGGAAGCTAAGAATATATTTATCACCTCCTTATTCCTTGCTTCTAAATGTATAATTCTTCTCCTGTGCCTGTTTTCTCTAGCGCATTATGCACTGTGATACAGAACTATATACCTGTTTGCAGCTTCTGCCTTCTTTCTTGTTTTTCACCTCTTTGATTCCTCTCTCAATGAAAATACTTCAAGTTCCTGAACTGTTGTAGGTGGATTGTAGTGTACTGAATGCATTGATGAATTTTGGTTTAAAGTGGTGATTCTGTACATTGCTTCAAGATACTTATAATTTTGGGGTGTATATTAGATGAGAGATATTGGTGTAACTAACTTGGGCTTTTAGCATGTAGATCACTTGAATGTTTCAGATATTGTCTCTCCCTCCACACACAGGCATTAAGGTCAAATTCCCTATAGCTCTGGCTGTTGTTCCTGGGAATGCTCTTAGGATCTGTGTGAACACAAGTATGTCACCACTCTAGCAGAAGAGTGCTGTGGTTAATTTTTTGTTTATTTAGGGAATCTTTTAGAATTTGTTTGCATTTTAAAAGGCAGAACATCAGTCCAGTTCTGCCTGAGGGTCTTACTAAAGTGCTTTTTAATAGTGAAACAAAAGTGCTCTAAAGAAGTTTAACGTGAGACTGTGCTTCCTCTATTTCTTGTACTCCCAGTACTTTTTTCCCCTCCTCTTCCTGAGAGCTCAGTCTTGATCTATTGCAGTAAGACACCTTGTTGACCCTTCCCTCCTTTTTTCCTGGCTGCTTGCCTGGCAAACATAAACTGCCTCTCTAGATTTCCCGAGAAAACAAATAAATTGAGGATTTCGGGACAGAACTCATTCATTGCTGTACCAACCCATTCTTCTGGCCCTTGACATCTGCCCATCCCACACTTGCTCTGTACTTTCTTGCAACCGGTTTGCTCCAAAGGATTTTTCGCTTCCCTGTTCTGCTGCAGCTGGTCTCCTGTCTGTACTTGCCTTTACAGTTCATCATCAAACCAAGTGTCACAATATAAAGAGTCAGGGTTTCATGCTCCTGAGAGGCTTAGAAAGTGGATCGCTGTAAATATTATTACTGTTTCTTTTAATTTGGAGAAGGCAGAAAGGTAGGAAGGGAATTTTGTGTGTTGCTGCTTTCTCTAACATGAAAGGATGGTAAGTAATGGTCGACACTGCTGTTTCAGGTATCTGATTCCTTGCAACCACATGATGTTGAGCCAGCGACGCGCTGTGAAAGAGAGAGACTGTTATTCTGTATCTGCTGCAAAACTGCTGGCCCTGACGCCAGTCTGCTGCTCTACTGGAATCACTTTGACACTTGAAAGCCAAGGAAAAGATTATATTCTGTGGACAAAAGCAGCACAAACTAAAGGTAATTGGTGCTCAGGGGCAGACCAGATCATTAAGTGCATTTGATTTGGTAGCAGCTCATGGGAGGAAGTCAGAAAGAATCAGAGGGGAAGGAAATGTGGTAGGTAACAATAAATTGGGCAAGCCTGGACTAGAAAGCTTATTTAATTCCTTCCATGTGTCCGGGTCTATTGAAACCTTGTTTTAACAGCTATCCAGCTTGACTATGCATTCATGAAAATAATGTACAGATACATGAAGGCAACCCTTGCTGCTTCAGAGTGGTTGCTGCTTTAAGGTTTGAATGCAGGCCTCTCTCGCAGAAATCTTGAGCTACAGCTCTGTCTTTGCAATAGGAACAAGTCAGGTATGTTTATGAGCAGATCTCTTAATGGTTATGCTTTTGTCTTCCTGCCTTATGGGATGGTTGGGGTTAAAGACTCTGCAATGTCTTAGTAGATCCCTTGCTAGAGAAAATTTGATATTCTGCTCATGGTATGAGTCGTCTTCTTTACTTCTAGATTCTGGTAGACGCTCTTTGGAATCTACTTGCATTGTGGAATATGGAAGAGCTGTGGACATCAGCTACTTGCAGTACCTGGGGGAAGCTCAAGAAGCCATCATCCAGTGCTTGAAAGATTGTAAAGTTTGGTCTGCCTTGTACGATGGAGTAAACCCTGATCCAGACACCTTTATCCAAACGCTTGCAGAGGAGAACAGTACAGATGTGGAGCATCCCATGTTTCAGCTCCAGCAAAGGACACCCAGCACATGCAGCTCCTCTCGAGTAACTCCATTCAGTGACAAGATGCAGCTGGAGCTAGAATGGGATGATAGCTATGACACAGGGATTTCTCCTGGTTCTAATGTGAGCTCACCGCAACCATATGATGATCTGGGAAGCACAGAAATGGAGCCACCTGCAGAGCCACCGAAACACATACAAGAAATGAAAAAAAATGCCATTATGCTCATCAAAGGTTCTTACATAGAGGAATCAGACTTTCAGGATGATGTTATGGTTTACAGGTTATGTGCCCAGAAGGATACTCAAGATGATGACGGCTCCAAGGAGAAAACTTTAAATGCAGACAGAGAACATAAGGTCCAAAGCCAGACAGTAGTCAATGGGCCTCTTGCAAAGACCCAGCTGGAAACGGGCTTGGATGAGCACAGTAGGAGAAATTCAAGCTCAACTCAATGTGTGATGAAAGAACAAATAAACCAGAAAATGACTGAGATTGATCCACAGCCAGACTCGGAGTTGAAGATTTCTTCTCAGGAGGCAGATTGTAACTTAAGACTGCTGAGCACAGATGGTGAGGATTTCATTGCACAGTATGACAAAATTATTAAGGAACTGGATCCAAACAGTGCAAGCTTGGAGGAACAGAAACTGGATACTCCTGACCCTGTCTCTCCAGCAGAAGAGGAGGAGGACTTTGAGAATTTTTCAACAGACACCCCTTCTGCAGAGAGCATATCATCTCCCTTTGGACCAAAGGAGGATGTCTCTCCTAAGCACACTTCGAGGAGCCAGAGTGCTCCGTTTACAGGTGGAATGTCCTGTTAATTACATACATAACAAATGCAGGATGGCATGGTGATTCCGGTGGGGGGGGGGGAGGTTAGGGGGGCAAATGAGATCACACCGTGGGGCACACAGCCCAAGCATAGAGCAAGGAACAGTTCTGGCAGTAAGGAGGGTATAGCCCGAATAGCTGAGACCAGTCCAAGGAGAGTGAGAGATCTAATGTGAAAATACAGCAGAGCCATCAGTGTGGTGACAGCAAATGGTGGATTCTCAGGGGGTTTTCTTTGGCTGCCTTTTTTTTTTTTTTTTGTGATTGTTTAAAACATTGAGCAGGGGTTATGTTGTTTGTATGTGAGAGCTCCATTACTTTAGAGGAAGCTTTTTCAGTTGAAAGGGGATTGGAGTAGCTGTTCTAATATACAGAGCCCAGGTAAATAATTTCCTTTTTTGTAGTTACTTTCATTTCTGATGCAGTGGGTGCAGTATCATGGTGCCATTTTTCCCCTCTCTGCTATTCCACATTGTAGCACGAGGTGTCAGCACTGGTGCCATGTCTGGATGTGCCTGTCTCCATGCTCTGCCCTGGCATCCTGTTCCTTCAGTGTCATCCTGCCCTCACTGTTGGCATGCTTTTCTGTCTGGTGCCACGCAGCAATTTAAGCTTGCTCTCTGCTGACTGTCCAAGCTATTCAAGAATGACAGTACTACCAGAGGTCAGAGTGGGCTTTTGATCTGCATGTGTAAGCACCTTGCTCTGCAGGCTCCTGATCTTTAGTTATGTCTCCTAGATACCAGAGTAATGCAAATAATAAAACATAATGATGGATCTAGGTTTTCTTACCCAAAACAAAACCTCTATAAGATGGCTTCTTGTTCATTTGGAGGGGGAAAATGTGTGTTCATTGAAAACCAGCCCTTTCTGGTCAGCTGTGGCCAGAATGCTTGGCACTGTTTCATAATTGAAAAATGCAGCCTGATTTTCAAACAATTTGCTCTTTTTGCTGTGGTGGCAATTTCTTGTACCAGAAGCTAATCATATCCAAATCTCTGTTGCCCAGTATCTGCTGTCAAATGTAGTCAAAAATGTTGTCTCTGTCTCTTATTCTTCATCTAGTCCCCCCCCTCCATTTGTTCCTTTTCAAAAACTCACATCAAAATCACCCCTGCCCAAACCCAAGAAAAACTGAAAACTGAAGAAAATGAAGATAAAAAGCTAATAACAATAAGCCTCCCTGTTTGCTCCCCATTTACATTATATCTTACTCTTAGGCTGTTTACTTTGCTTTAATGCAGATCTTGGTGATTGCATGTAAGGAGGTGCTCAGAATCACAGAATATGCTGAGTTGGAAGGAATGCACAAGGATCATCACCTTAGCCCTGCACAAGACCATCCCCAAGAGTCACACCATGTGCCTGAGAATACTGACATATGCTTCTTGAACTCTGTCAGGCTTGGGGCTGTGACCACAGGGGAGTCTGTTCCAGTGCCCTAAACCTCCTCTGACACAGCTTCAGGCCATTCCCTTGGGTCCTGTCACTGGTCACCACTGTCTCTCCCCTTTCCCTCACAAGGAAGTTGTAGCCTGCAAGGAGGTCTCCCCTCAGTCTCTTCTCTAGGCTGAACACACCAAGTACCCTCAGCTGTTCTGCACATGGCTTCCCCTCAAGGGCCCTTCACCATCTTCCTTGCCCTCCTTTGGACATTCTCCAATAGCTTAATATCTTTCCTATATTGTGGTGCCCAAAACCACACACAATATCCAAGGTGAGGTGGCCTCAGTGCAGAGCAGAGCAGGACAATCCCCTCCCTTGACCAGCTGGTGATGCTTTGCCTGATGCCCCCCCGGACATGGCTGGCCCTGCTGGCCGCCAGGGCACAATGACTAATATTCAACTTGCTGTTGACCAGAACCCCAGGGTTCCTTTCAGTGGCACTGCTTTCCAGCATCTCATTCCCCAGTCTGTGTGTACATCTGGGATTGCTTCCTCCCGGGTGTAGGATCCAGCACTTTCCCTTGTTGAACTTCATATGGTTGGGGATTGCCCAGTCCTCTGATTTGTTGAGGTCTCTCTGCAGGGCCTTCCTGTCCTTGAGGGAGTCAACAGCTCCTTCCAATTTTGTGTCACCTGCAATCTCAGTGTCCCTTCCAATCCTGCATCCAGGTTTTTATGAGGATGTTGAAGAGCACAGGGCCAGAGATGGAGCCCCTGTGGAACCTCACTAGTGACAGGTCACCAGTGTGAAGTTCACCCATTCACTATTACCCTCTGTGCTCGACCCGTGAGCCAAGTGCTCACCCACCACCTGATGTGTTTATCCAGCTGTGCTGGACAGTTTGTCCAGAAGGATGCAGCGAGAGACTGCATTGGAAGCTTAACTGAAATCCAAAGAGATTACGTCAACTGTCTTCCCTTGATCATCTAGGTGGGTTACCTTGTCGTAAAAGGAAATCAGGCTCGATAAACAGGACTTTCCTTTCATGAAGCCATGCTCGCTGTGACCGATGACAGCATTGTCTCTCAGGTGTTTTTCAGTACCTCCCAGAATAATCCCATAACTTTAGCAGGCACTCAAGCGGGACTGACAGGCCTTTAGAGCTTGTAACACCACCTTGGAAATCTTGAGATTGCAGGGCCTTTCAAAGGTAGCAACCTTGTATAGTGGAAGGTATTCCTGCTCTCGGCAGGGGGCTTGGAACTAGATGATCTTTAAGGTCTTTGCCAACCGAAATCATTCTGTAATTCTGTATTTAATTTGGAATGGTGTCTTATGTTTGTAGATGTTTTTGATAAAGTTTTGGGTCGCTTTTACTGTTTTGGGATACTGTCATGGGATGGGGCTTCTCTGTGGAGTGGAATAACCTGACAGAGGCTTCCCACACCCAGTAAGTGTCAGCAGTGCAAAGATGCTTTCTTCAGGCCTATGGATCTATGAAGAAAATGTCCCATTGGTGTCTTATATCCAGTGCAAAAGCATTAAACACTATCATCCCTATTTTCACAGGAGTGAGACAGAATGTGTTTTTCAGGAATAGGAATTTATATTTTGCTCCCTCCCTCTCCACATATCAGTGCTTGACTTCATGGCCGTGAAAGGAATACTTTTTTTGACTTTTCATCTAGTTACCCTGTTTCTTACAAGGCTCCTAAACTCTGCTTACTTCCTCCAATTCTCATTCTAATAAATTCTTGGTGGTAAAAGTCACACTTCTCATTGAGGAATTTTTTAATGTATTTGGTAACCTCTCTCGCAGTGGCAGGCAGCAGTTGTTAAAAGTATTGAGATTCAGCTTTACCTGCTCAGCTTTAAAGTGTTACCTAGTGGAGAGAAACACTGACACCTTCTCCTGCTGTCCCTTTTGGTACAGTAGGATTTCCACTGCACTGTGGTCTTCAGGAGCTAGGTGAAAATGTCTCCATGAACACGATAGGGGAAGCAATAGGTTATGCTGGGACAGAAGAAACTGTATCTCAACAAAAGGGTTTGCAGCTGCTCCACTGGGTACCCGGGCTGGGGGCATTCCTGCAGCTCTGATGGCTGACCTGGTGCTTGAAAGGCAGCAGCCATAAAAAGCCCTGCCAACACTGGCCCTCCCACCTTTCATCTGCTGAGTGGAGCTGTGCCGGACAGTAGCCGTGTGCAAGCTGAGGGGAGCTGGAATGGGGTTGGATTATGGCTACCTGCTTGACCCTGGAAATGCCCATGGCATGCACCTTGTGCCAAGATTGAGGGTGGTATATTCAAAGTTAGCAGCGCTGTAACTGCATCACCCAGGGATTCTTCTGCCTGATTTTCCTAGCTTTTATGCAGCCAGAATAGTGTGGTGGAACTGGGGGTGGGACAAAGGATGTTTCTAAGACTTGACTTGTGATTAGGTCACTTGTACAGGCTGCCTCAAGCATCTCATCAGCTGTGTGGCCTAACAGCATGTAGTGAAGTCATGGGTGAAGTCATTCTCAGCTTTGCAAAGGTTTCTTAAGCTCGAGCACTAAGAGTTTATGTACTTTCATGGTAAACGCTTTTGTATTTCAGTGGTTGTCCTGCTGCATGAATACACAAGCTAAAGCTGTTATTTATTAGTGACATTTATATGCTAAAGCCTATGTCTACCAACAATTTTGCTTATAAATCTATTTTAATGTCTTCCCTGCTTTGTGGGACTGTTTGCAGTAATGCAAATGCCTTTTCTTGTGATGTGAACTATCACAGCTCTTGATTTTTATGTTTAGAGTAGCATTTTCATGTTGTTTAGAACACCATTTTTTTGATAAGAAAGCTAGCTGTAATTTACTTTGCCCAGTCCTTACTTAGAAATAAGGCACAGCAGGAGTAAAAAGAACAGATTCTGTTTGCATGGAAACTAGTAGTACCATTCCGATTAACTTCAAGGGGAATAGAATGGCAGACAATAACGTACTAGGCTAAATCCTTATTGGCACATGTAAAGTAGAATGGTTAAATATGTTAAATATGCCATTAATGCAAACTGATGGGCTATCTAGCAAATGTGCTTTTAATCACAAAAGCTTTTAACACCTCTGTTAAGTCTGGTTTGTCTGTTCAGCTACAGTTTGGCTTTTCTACCTGCTGTCTTTATTTAGTGTGTGGGAGGTCTAATTTAGTTGGTTATGATGATCAAAATTCCTTTTAAATTACTGCTTCCTGTATCTCAGGATTTTTCTTCTGTGAAAACAAAAGCATTGGTTCCTTCTTATTTTCTTGCAGGACCGTTCATCAGTGTAGTGTTGTCAAAGCTGGAGAACATGCTGGAGAATTCCTTGCATGTAAATCTGCTGCTTATTGGGATTATTACTCAGCTGGCAAGTTATCCACAGCCACTTCTTCGCTCCTTCCTGCTCAACACCAACATGGTGTTTCAGCCTAGCGTGCGGTCACTCTATCAGGTATTTGACCACCAGTGTTAGCCACGCCCACTGGAGCAGTATTTTTGGTGTCTCCTTAAAATTTACATTAGTTCCTTTCAGTTTCACCTGTAGTTTTCCCACCTGTCTGAGAGCCTCTTACTTAATTTCCACGTTTTAATTACATCTGTGCAAAGAACTGGCAAACTCTGTATGACCATAGATTTTGTCAGAACTCTGTTTCAATGCAAGTAGAGAAAGCCCAAGTATTCAGTCTGTGGCTGCACTGGGAGCAAAGGAGGAAGAAGTAATTATTACTGTTGTTTTGACAGGTGCTGGCATCTGTGAAAAATAAGATTGAGCATTTTGCTTCCATTGAAAAAGACTTTCCAGGTCTTCTTCTGGAGGCCCAACAGTACTTGCTTTTTCGTGTGGACATGTCTGATGCTGCAGAAGAATTGCTAACCAAAGGTAAATGTTAATGCTCGAGGAGTGCCGGGTGGAATGACTTACCAGTTACCCCTCTCCTTTTCTACAGATGATTAAAAGAAGGTGTGGTGTGAATATCATTAACCAGATGTACCCTTCTGACTTTAAACTGATGATGCTCAGTAGACCACAGTGTGTGGGTCTATTTGGATGTTCTCTGCTCTTTAAAAGCTTTTGTTTGTTACATAAAATGTCTCTTTAAAGAAGTAACAAAATCAGTTCCTGGCTTGCTGTCAGTTTGGCCGTAAACAAACTCACTTTCGAGGCATGAGGTGAGGTGGCATATGTGCATGATTTCATTTTATTTTTAGCCTGACCTTCAGCTAGTCACTGGTTCTTTTTTGATAAATGTTAGGGAGGACAGAAGACCAGGATGAATTGGTTTCTGCAACAATTGAATAGGGCTTGATATCCATTGAATAGGGCTGCTATGAAGGAGACAGATAATAGCCAGAAAAAAATTTTAATGTGCTTTCTTGGATGAGAAACCAAGCAAAACAAACAGAAAAAACCAAAGGGGAGATGTGTAAAAGCCAGGACACTTTGAGAGCAGTGGGGACTTCAACAGGTATCATCCCACCAAGCCAGCTTTAGAGGGACTTCTGTATAACATCTGCTGCTTTTCCAGCACAGTGCACCCTGCACCTGTCTTTACAGTTACCAGTGTTAATTTATACTGCTGGGGACATGCTGGTGAAAATAAGCAAAGTGAAGTCTTACATGCTAAGAACCTTCCAGACACAGCCAGGCAATGGGTGGAATTGGGGCCCTGCCCAGAGGATATGCTTGTTCTCAGCCTGCTGCTGAGCCAGCAAAGCTAGGTTCAGTTTTCCCCTAAAAGCCAACTACCCATGTGATGGGAATATGTCAAACTTGGTGAGTGATTAAGAGCTGACTCTGCAAAAGGGTTCGGGAGAGGCTGCATTTACAGGTGTGTGCTTACTCATCATTGGGAGTCATTAATAATCACTGGTTCTGCCTACACCTCTGGGAAGATGGTGATAGTATTCTCGGATTTCCAGAAGCGTGGAAAGCAGGACTCTTTATGTGCCATTTTTAATTGTATTTTCATTATTCAAGGCTCTGACTAATAATCTACCTAGTTTCCAGTCAGCAGAGTGTGTGTTTCTAAGGTTTGCAGTACAACTAGCCTGTAAAATTATGAGCCTGCTAAGGCTGCTTCTTGAAGAATTGGTCTGTGGAAGGTGCTTGTTGTAAAGAAGCTGTGTACTGCAAACGTCAGTAGTGTTTTAGGCTCTGCATTCTGGTGCCATAGATTAGAAAGCTTTACAATTAGATGGTATTGTAGCTAGCATGTGGGAGATGAGATTAGGAGGTAATATTTAGAGTCCTTTTGCCTCTTAGGAAATAAGAACTTTTATATAATGAATTCCTGATGGCATTTATTTATACTTCTGATTTTACATCCGTTTTCTTCCATGGACCTCAGAATTTTGCTAGGTTGACTCATGCTGATCATTTTTTAGGAATTTGAAACAAGGCTGCTTAGTCACCCTGTTGGTAAATTTTCCTCTGTATAGTAGCAACTCCTGCAAAGAAGGCTTCTCTTGACAAATGGGTGGAGAGTAAACAACTGTCTGGATAACTGCAGGCTTGGTTCCCAACAGGACTGGTGATGGGATTCATCAAACTGTAATGCTGGGGCAAAGTTGGCTCAGTAGTCCATCATTATATTGATTATATTGATTAAGAATTGCAAAATAGGGACTGCTACAATAATGATAAATGAAAACAAACAAACAAACCAACCAAAACCCACCAAAAATCAATCGAACAAGAAATTAGGAACTCCTATAGCACTTCTTTGCATTTGCTTGAATGCCACTTCTGAGCGTCATGCAAGTTGGCTGCTCTCTGAGGGATTTTTTCCCTTGAACAGGAGTGGTGAATAACCCCAATGTTCCCTACAAGTCTGAGCATAACTGGCCTTCTGCAGAATTCACATCTGAAAACAAGAAGCCAGACTTACTGGGAAACACAAATATAAAACCTTTCTCTTTACAGGGGTGATCTCTGAAGGTGTTCAAGCAGAAATGGACAGTTTATTATTTTCTGCTTGCAGTAGCTTGTGGTTTCCTTACATAGTAGATTGGGTTCTGGTTGCGTATATAGAGCTGTCACAATGTAGATTCCATGGGAAAAGCTGCCTTTCTTTCAGGGCATTGGTAACCATCTTCAGAGTACTCATTTTCTCAAGTTTCAGTTTTGTGATTTAGTTTGCCTCCTGACCCTAGAAAGAAGTGAACAATCCTGATCAAAGGAACCGAAATCTCTGATTCCTAGATCAGCTTTCTGTGCTTTTCTGCTATTTTGGGGTTTTTTTCCCCAAATAAGCAGTTAAATCTAAATCAAAATTATTTTTAGGGAAATGTATCAATCTCAATGCTTTTTAAAAAGAAGAGTAAAAACAAAAGCCAAGCTTTGACAGTATACTAGCATTCTGATTTTATTGGCTAAGCTATTAAAAAAACTTAAAATATTAATTATGAAACATTTTGACATAAGAAAATCTGAAAAAAAAATCTTCAGGGGAAGTTCAAAACTTTATCTTTTCATTGTAATTCATAATGCAAGTTGTTTTTCCTCCCACAGTCAGATTTTTCCACAGAATTGAAATTCCTATACTCTGTCTCTAGTAGACAGAAATGCGTAGAATAACAACATGAATGATTGATAAGTCTGGGGTTAGAAAGGTGTTTTAAACTCAAGAAAAGTAAGAGTCTGTTAAATGATTAAGATGAAAATTTCTTTTGAGTGTTTGGAAGTGTACAGTAATTCCACAGTGCCTTTGGAGAAGGACAAGCAAGGAACAAAAGTGCAGAGCTGTTGAACAGAGGGATGGCTGAGCTCCTCGCCTTTGCTACTTGGAGAGATTTCAGAACAAGGCTGGTGTCACCTGAGACTGAGTTGTTTTAACATAAATTGCATGCACTTTAAGGGAAACCTCTTCTTAATGCAGAAGTGCGGTATTTGGCTTATCTGCAATATGTGAGTTAATATAAGTACTTTAAATTTTTTTTAATGATTTACTTATACAGCTCATGAGAACATCCACTTGTAAGTTAAACAGGATTTTATCTGTCCACGCTTCTGGCCTCAATGACATCTTGTAGCAGTGAGTTCTGCAGGTTAATTTTTCTTTGTAAAATATTTCGTTCCATCAGTGTTAAATTTTGTCACCTTTTTAGTTTCATTAAATTAATTATCATCTAATTAAAGGTCAGCTCTGCTTCAGGTTGAAACAAGGAGAAGTTGATTGAAATTTAGGTGCTGCTGTCACTGCAATTCCATGCATTCTGATGCTTGAGCCCTGATCCTCTGAACTCTGGCAGCAACACACACTCTAACAGAGCACACAGTGGTTTTCATTTGTTCTGTTTTTAATGTTTAGTTGCTTTACAGGGAGTTAAGGGTAAGTGTAGTTTTTGGGGCCTGTAGCTGCAGAAAAATCAAGTTTTTAAACCTTTTTTCCCCTTAAATTCTTGCTTGCTTCAAACTCATGCAGTGACCTTGTAACTCAGCCTCAAACCCATTTACGTGGTGATTCACAGGGAGAGGGTGGAGAAGAAGTAAAGTCAAAACTTCAGTGTGATCTGGGGGAGGGATAGAGCCTCTTGAAATGGAGACAACCACGCTGGGTCTAGATGGGTAGATATTATCTGCTATTTCAGAAAGTAAATCCATATTACTCTTTCCCTTGACTCCTCTTCTGCCCACATATTTCTCTTATCAGAGCCGGAACTGAATAATATATAACCTGGGGAAAGATAGGTCATAAAAAATGCAATAGAATAAGGCCACGTAGAACTTTAAAATGTTGGATCCCTGCACAGTCTGGGTACTACAAATTACAGCTCTGAACACAATCCTTGTAAACTGGGTTTGGACACTGTACATATACTGTGTGTGCTTAATACACAGTCTTTTCTTTTTTTCTGTCTGTTTTTGCCTCTCCCTCTTCTCCCGGCTTTAGGTAATGTCCAGCACAGCAGTATCGCAGGGAAAGGAAGGAACCTCTCTGAAGCCTACCCAGCTGTACTGCAGCCTTTCCTGGGGCAGAAAGGAAAGAAAAGCCTGGCTCATCCCAGCCTTCCTGCGCATGTGAGGAACGCCGTGCTTGCAGCTGCCCTCTTCCCGGAGTTCCTGAAGGAGTTGGCAGCTCTAGCCCAAGAACATTCCATTTTATGTTACAAAGTACTGGGGGATTTTGAAGATTATTATTAGTGGGGTTTTTCAACATGTTTTTAAAAAGCTTTTGGAGTTTAAACAGATTTTTGATGCAAAGCTGCTTACAAAAGAAGGTTGTACTTCAATATTTCCTGAAAATACTTGATTTAGAGGGGGAAGAAGGAGGCAAAATACTATTCCAGTTAGGCCTTATAATTTCCCTGTGTGCTACATAACTTATTTGAGAGATTTCTGATACTGCTCTGACTGCAGCTTCCTTCCTCATCCCTTCCTCTTTACACAGCCACCGTTCTTTAGTGTTATTAATTCCTGTTGAATTTCTGCAATAGACTACTTGTAGGATGGCTAAGAGAAGCAAACATGTTAGCTTCTTCTGTTCCAGATACACACTTCTGGATAACTTGTTAGGAGACTGTTTGAAAAAGCATTGCCCTGTGGGGAAAGTTCACAGTATAAAAAGACATGCACAGTCTGCACAAAACCCCTTTATTTAATGGATTGTGCTGCTTGGTGTCATTGTTCTCTTCCCTTCCTTTTCCCTGAAACCAGGTTCTTATCAATCTGTATCTGAAGCCATCTCTTTAACTAGTGGGTCAAGTTTTTGAATTCAAGTGATCTTATGTGTATTAAACCCCTGAATAGCTGAAAGCAGGTGCTGGACCCTACACATACCATATTGCCTTATGTTGCAGACAGATCTGCAGCTATCAGCTGTTGGGCTTTGAAGTCAAATGAACTGTGTAAGTGGATGTGGATTGCAGACTGCCTGGAATTTTCCTTGCAGTTTCTCGGCATTCTTGGGTAACTACTGCATTGCTACCTACACTCTGCAAGCATGCCTTATTTAGTAAGATTTGCACAAAGTTCAAAACAAAATGTTTCTATGCAAGCTGTTATTAGTATGTAGTTTATT